CTGGGTGCCCCTCTGATCCCCGCCTGTGCGCGGGGTGCCCCTCCTGCTGCTCCCGCTCGGCGGGCGTGCGTCGGGGTACCCTGGTAGGCGGGAAGGCACCGAGGGGTACCCCGTACTTCCACACCGGCTCAGGGACTGTGCACAGGAGCCCAGCTCCTGCGGCTGCTGCTGGGGGGCAGGGAGTGATGGGCAGTGCAGGGAGTTGTCCTGCTGCTACTCTTGCTTCGGGTGTGTGCTCAGTGCAGGGTGGTTCCATTCCGTGAGCGGGGACTGCAGTTGCCGTGCCACCCAGTCGTGTCTGAGCTGTGCTGCTCCGTCTCCTTCCGGAGAGCGTTTCACGTGAAGGTGGGGAGAGAAGGACAGATACCAGCAGTCCCGTCTGTTGGGTGCTTTTGGTTACTGGCAGCTACCCTGCTTCGTGGCCTCTCCCTCCTCCCATCCTTGCAGTGGCAGGGCTATTGCATCCCATAACAGTTATTGGCCGAGGAGGGAAGGAAACAAGTGTTTTCAGAGGGGGTCACTCTCTGGGGGTGCATACCTAGAGCAACCCAGAGTTCCAAGCAGGGTGACCCCGGGTGGACATCCCACAGGGCATGTGAGGCACCTGCCTGCTGCCTTCTCCCATCACGGTGCATTTGGGTTTGGGCCCCAAAGCACACAGAGCGGCCCTGAAGCAGCTCTGTGGTTGACCCGATGGCAGCTCTCTCCCTTTCCTGTTATCAGACAAGAAATACATACTGTATGCTACTGTTGCTGAGAGTTTCCTCAAGATGCTTGCTGTTCCCTTTTAAGCTCTCTTCTCTTGTCTCCTCATTAACAAACACAGCAGTTGCAGAGAGCAGCGTCTGGGGCTGGGAGTAGCTTTGCTTGGCTCCTGCTGAAGCAAGACTGTGCAGCACTGCCAGGCCTGCTGCCTCAGCTTGACCGCAGAGGTGTTGTCCTCATTTCACTGGCCCCCAAAATATTCACCTATAACAGTCTCCCCCCAGACTTACTAACTGCTTTAGCAGTAGAAGGAAGAGCAACAACAGACATCTGTATGAGATAAATAGAAATATGCATCTATAAGCCAGGCACTGTGATGAAGAGTGATGTAGGTAATATTTACCCCTTTCCCCCTCCCCCTTCTTCCTCACTCACTTTCTCTTTTAAAGCCCCTCTTTTTTCATCCAGGTGAGGAGGCAGGAGATACAGTCAAGTTACTACTCTGTAAAAATTACTCTGGCAAGTAAGAGGATGCCCTGCTATATAAAAGACTGGTGAGGGCACCAGCATGCCTTCTTCACATCCTCACACAAAGCTTTTTTCCCTTGCCCTGGCCATTTCTTTCTTTCTTTCCTGTCCTGTGTTTCTTCCCCAGTGTTTGCTGAAAATGAAAAGAAATGCTCCCTTTCTTCTTTGCTCTCAGCTTCTTTTACAAAGTATAAAAAGAACACTGGCCAAAGTTTAAAAATATATATAAACAGTTAGGTTTTCTTGCCTTTTTTTCTTATTATTATTTTTATTTTTTTTATTTTGGCATTGGGCTTGTTCTGGCATCTGGCATTTCATACTATTCCTAGTTGTTCTCCCCCTGCTAAATCTGGCTCTGAGGAGTAGAGCTGTACATCTGAGAAGGTTTAAAACAAACCTTCTAAGGACTACCTAAAAGGAAGCCCTTAAAGGCACAAAAATCTACAATAAGTTAAAATGATTTGTATGAAAAGTAGCTGTACAATGTTTCACATACATATGGCAATGACCTCAACTATATTGTCATGACAGTATCACAAAATATCACATCTTGATTCTTCAGGTGTGGGAGATGTATTTCCTTGAATGGTGCACTCCAATTAAATAGCATTAGGTCTGCATGCAGCAATATGGTTCAATGGCTGAAGTGGTTTTTAAATGATACTTAACATCAAAACATATTTGCAGAACTGAGAGCTAAATAACAGTCCTGTTTTGTTGTTCCTTGTCAGTTTCCATTACTGTTTATGTAATTTTGAGCACGTGTCTTCCTGAAAAAACAACAACAAAAGTTGAAGGATGGTGTTTTAATAATGCAAAGTTGTATAGTAGATCTAGTAGTAAATTTGGATTGTGTCGGCACATATATAGGAAACTGGATATGTACATTTTGTACAATATATGTTATGTATGATTTACTCAGTTGATTCCCAGAACTAGTAATAAGGTAAACATGCAAATATATATCTTCAATGTGTATACATTGATTTGTTATACTATAAAAGAGTTAAAAAAGTCAGTACAATACATGGGGTAAATTTGGATGCAAACACTTAAAGGGACAAGACTTAGGGGTGACTTTAAGCCCCAGGGGGTGCAGTGAGCTACTCCAGACTAAGTCTATAAATTTAAGGGGAATCCAGGCTCAGAAGTAGCGCAAAAGGACTTCCTGCTATAGTTAGCATTGTAAATATTGTGTAAATGAACTGGTTCCTATGGACTTAACCTTAGTTTTACCTAAGGAATCGCTGAAGTATTTTCCTGTTACTTTTCTGCTTACAATCCATTAAGGTGAAGTAAGCATTAGGGAGTAAGAGGTGCAGGAAGTTTTGGGAAGATTATGTGTTTGGTTAAAGCAAGCAAGTAAGAGCTTGTGAGAATGCTATTTTCACAGAAACCCAGGACACAAATGCTTCCTGAGGTTCCCAAAACATTGTACTTTACAGCCAGTGCCCTGTGGCTTATGCTGGGCTTGCTATTCTTGTTAGTTATGCCATACAATGGTAGTTTTTCACATCTCTTCCTTGCATCTCCTCAGTACCACTTCCTTCCCCTTTCCTGCTCCCCTCCCCCCGCAGGAGCAAAAATAAGCACATGCTAAGATTACCTCATTGCCTATAATCTGTTTTTCTTGATTGCATTTAAACATCTATAAGCATGATGAGGGTCATCACAGGGCTACTGCTGTATATACACCTTGCTTAGGCAATTTTCTTCTGTTTCTACTGATACTAGTATTGGGGAAGCAGACACTTTTTTTTTTCTTTTTTTCTTCTTTATCATCACTTTCACTGAACTTGCACTTTACTAAAAAAAGAAGGTTCTCTTTGCAGGTAGTAAGCAATTAGTTGGAACCCAGCGCTAACATAACTGGCTTTGCACAGATCGGTCAGTATGAATCAGCAGCCTGCAAGACTGAGCTCCAGTTGCCAGCAGTTACTACTGTCTCCTACTGTACTGGCAGAACTCAGTTAAAACAATACCAGATGCAAAAATAGCAACAGTAATAATAACAATAATGATGAAATAATTAGTTGTCTTTGCAGAGACATCTGTCTGACTGTGCTTTAATGGCTAATTTGTATGTAAACCCTTCGAGACCACCTACTGTAACTATAGACTTAGAGGTAGTGAGTTTTTTTGGTTTGTACCATAACAACAGGAAAGAGAAAATTAGCTGACTGGCAATAAATGCCAAATGAAAGAATTACTTGAAGTTAGCCAAGGTATTACATTGTTAAACTGTTGAAGAGAAAACTCTCAATTTCTCAAACTTTCAAATTAATACAGAGTTAGCTATCATCATTTAAATCTGTTTATGTCTTGGTTTGGTTTTGATTAAATTGCTATACCTTAAAGAATATTGGTCTGAACTACTTAATGTTTCTAAAATCAAGTCAATGTTTATAAATATGGGATATTACTTTAGACTGAAACATATTTTTTAAAAGACTTTTCCTTCATTTGTTTTTCTCTGTGTGTTAGCACTGTTCTTGCTTTTTTCTACAGAATCCTTGCTAATTTTTCACAAAATTCTGCACTTTTTCTACTTGTCTTACAGTGCTTTAAAGACACTGTATTTATCTATATAGCGAAGCTAACTCACTTCTATTGCCACCTGCTCAGCTGAAATTTCCAAGTGGCAGAGCACAATGCAGCACAATGGTAATAAGTGACAGAAGAAATGAAAGCAAGCCAGCTCTGTTTAAAGGAGGGCAAATAGAGTACCTGAATGTTACACCCACTATGTAGGGGAATGGAATAAAAAAAAAAACAGAAATCTTCAACATTTTCATGGCACCCTTTTTAACTTCTTTTGTTAGATTAGAGAGGTTTTCAAGAGGGAGGAGTTTCTAACTATTGAATGCTTTGTACTCTGGAAAGTTTGATCTTTCAGTGCTGGTGCTGTATGCTTTTTGAAACAATCATGATCAGAGCACATGGCATACAAGCTTTGTGTCCTCAGAATTACTATTTACATCTGCTATTTTATATAATAAGTGACATATAAATTGAAAATCAGTGAGAATCTCATGTACCCCAGGCATCTTTCTAGTTTCAAAATTGTCGTTTGCTCTTTTAATTTATTTTCTCAAAAGGGTTTATTAACAAGTACAACTTACAATGAGCATGTCTCTGTGCGTTTTGCAATAAATAAGTCTGGGAACAGTGTGAGGTAAGGCAGCTTATGATCAAATTCAGTCTTCTGCACTGTCTGTTCTTATGCATTAATTTTCTGTATGACAATCTTTCTATAGAATGAGAATTCAAAGCATACTTTATGGCTGGTGACTGGCATTTATGGTTGAACATACCAACGCTGAAAGCTGAGAGATTGCATTTATAGGGTTAATCAGACACAATATTGTAAAGTGTGCCTTTGCAAGAGCAAGCAGTGACTCAAGAAGAAAAGAATATGTGGTGCAGAAGATTTAAAAGAGAAAGGAAAAAAGAACATTAAAAAAGTCTGGCAATTTGAGAAATGGAGAGATATTTTAAAAATAACATCTAAACTGAGAAACCTGATTTGGTAGAAACAATGGGAAGGAAGAGCTTTGTCTTCTATGCATCAGACCCCACATTCTCAAGGTGGACACCCATAATATGAACACACATATGCTCATCCTTCTATGCCAAATTTAAGTGATTCAGCAACAAAAACGGGCCTCTATATCAGTCCACCAGCCAAGCATTCATCTACCTAAACTTACAACAATCATTGTTCTTCTTGCCTTCAGCTGCTTTAGTTTTCAGAGATGTGAATGAGACGTGACCTACACACCATGTCCTCCTTTACTACAGGGCATAGTTTTGCATTCTGAGTACCATTTTTGTGTATTGCATAAAGCAAGGGTAGATGAAGAAATAAATATGTGACTATATGGCTGGTCTTTATTATAATGGTGTGCACTAAGTGGTGAAATAAGGTTGCATGGCAATTTCTGATCCAGGATTTTCCTGAAAATAGAAATTGTTATTAGACTTCCACTGTTTATAAACATATTTTTGCATGCAGGAAATGCGCATATATCCATGCATAGGTACACCTGCTTCACATAACCTGTTCTACCATTTTCTGGTTTTGACCCTGCATACTAGTTATGAACAAGAGCTAATCTTAGCTAGCTAATGAGATCTGACATGGTTGCAGTCCATAGCAGTATGGCTGGAGGCTAGAGGATTTGTGTGTGTGTTGTTTTATTCATGTGTTGTCCAGGAGAGGACTGGAAACATTATGTAAGAGTGCTAAGCACTCAGTGTCAGCCTCTAGGCAAAATACGGGTAAATGACTCCTTCAAAATAAAATTATATAAAATTTAACCTTTTTTTTTTTTTTAATGGAAAGACAATTTGTAATGGAGCATGTCTGTCTGTAACCTCATCTGCCCTGTATAAATGCAGTGAATGTCTAGAGAGGAGAACACTTACTATATAGTTATATCAGGTAAGTTGAAGTTAGTGATTTTGAAAACATATATTGGCATGTGGAGTAGCAGTTATTAATTTATCATCTCTTATTTTTATCTTGAATAATGCAAGTTCTTTTTCACAATTTCTTTTCTCCATCTCCTGCTTATCAAGTATTATGTCCTAGGACAGCATCTCATTGTTCCTGTGAGGTGAACTGGCCTATGACAGCATCTAGAAAATCTGCAGAAGACAGATCTCCCTTTCCTCCCCTTTCTCAGTGAAGCTGCACTAAGATTTTTTGAGTTTTGCATTTGGCTCTCTCATATAGCTAAATCTCTGCACTGCTGCAGCTCTTTGAGCACCTTGCAGCTTGTAAATGACTCATGCGGCACACTCCCTTCCCTCTAGCCAGCATGGAGAAAGCCCAGAAAACTGTGCTTGGGAATGATCTTCCTTCTGGCTTACATCACAAATTACAGGATAATGCCCAAAGGCACAATACAGCTTGAAATACATAGTCATCATGAAACATACAAATACAGTTGCTCTTAACAGGAATTGCATACCCACAGTAATTTACAATTTTAACTCCAAACTGCTTTCAAGCCTCTACCTTTACAAACTTTAAAAAACTGATTTCTTTTTTGGTAAGTGCCTGTAACTGGCAGTTATTATGTTTGATGTGAATGGACTACATTTCAAGCAAGCAAAGACATACAAAGGCATCCAAACAAATCCCATTATTTTCTATGAGATTAGAGCAGCAGTTTGAGCACAAGTGAATCTTGGAATATACAAAGATTCTTCAAATTAGCCAGCAACTTTAGATAGGTAAATGTTGCAAAGTATTGTTGCACTGATACTCAATTCAGTCTATATTCCACTTACCAACTGTTGCCCAAACATCATCTCACTCAAAAAAAATCTGCAAATTTACAATTGTGTGTTCCAGTATAAAAATAATAACAATAAAAAAAATCCTAAATGGTCCATGAAATCACCATTTATGTATGAACCTTGTGTAATCTGATCTTCAGAAACTCCAAGTGACCATGAAATTGTTGTTACGGGTTGTACCCAATCCTTCTGACAATCAAGCCCATGCTGCTCAAAAGCATTACCAATTTAGATACCAAAAAAACTTCCTCTTTTCTGTTAAAATACACCTCACTGTGAAAGAGGAACAAGTTTGTGCTCACCCTGTAATGAGCAACTTTGGTATTGTAATAACAGCCAGAGAAACAAGCAGTTGCCATCTAATGCTTGAGCATGCTTACTTTGATGTAAACCAAGTTTTCATGCCAGAGAACAAAATTTCTTGTAGAACATTGTCCTGGGTTCAGCAGTAGCAGTCACGTTTCTCCTCCTTGGTAGCTGGTGCAGTGCAGTGTTTTGACTTTCGGCCTGGGAACAGTGCTGATAGCGATGTTTTGGTTTGGCCAAGGACTTTGTGAGCCTCGTGCTCTGCCAGGGAGGAGGGAAAGCCAGGAGGAAGCAGAGACAGGACACCTGACCCAAGCTGACCAAAGAGGTATTCCATACCACAGCACGTCATGCCCAGGATGTAACTGGGAGTTAGCCGGAAGGGCTGGGAGACTGCAGGGTTGGAGGACGTATCGGTCAGTGCTTGGTCAGGCTTGGGGGGCGAGTTATTGGTCGGCTGGTGGTGAGGTGTTGTATTCTCTTACCTTGTTATTTCCTTTATTATTATTATCATTGGTGGTAGCAGTAGTGATCTGTGTTATACCTTAGTTACTAAACTGTTCTTATCTCAACCTGTGGGAGTTGCATTCTTTTTGATTCTTCTTTCTGTCCCTCCAGGAGTAGGGGGAGGGCAAGAAGGGGGGAAGTGAGTGAACGAGTTACCTGACTGGGTTTAAACCACAACAAACATGTATCCTACCTATTTAAAAAATCGACTGAAGTAGCTCACGTCTGTGTTAAAACTTCACTTTTCCCCGCCAACCAGCAAATTTAGTATCTGTTTATTTTCCACATACTAAACAATTTCCCGATCTGCACCTACTGAAATCTGCTAAATAAAATATCACATCAAAGAAGTAATAGAGAATAGAGTATTCAGGTGAATACTGTCTGCACCCTACAACTGCTGGTGCATGACAAGAGCTCAAGAGCTAAGTCTCTTGAGAAATGAAACAATGCTAGGAAATATTTATAGCTCAAACACATATTGTTAAATTATTAGAAGTTTAGATTAGATATAAAGAAGAAGTTCTTTACTGTGAGGGTGGTGAGGTACTGGAATGGGTTGCCCAAGAAAGTTGTGAATGCACCATCCCTGGCGGTGTTCAAGGCCAGGTTGGACAGAGCCTTGGGTGACATGGTTTAGTGTGAGGTATCCCTGCCCATGGCATTTGGGTTGGAACTAGATGATCTTAAGTTCGTTTGCAATGCCAACTATTCTATGATTCTATGATTAGCCTAAGTTTTGGCTTACACTAGGCAAACACTTCCAAACAACTCCCAAACACAGTCTGGAGACCTTGTTCTAGGGCACCTTTAGTCAAACAGAATGTCTGCAAACAGGGAGGACAATGTTAGTCTAGTACAGGCAGTGATTTGTACCTGCGGAGAAAAGCAAGGACATGAGGTGGAATAGGCTGTATTTCTGCTACTTCTTATGCAGACCAAACAGCACTGGAAACTGTTTCAGTCTGGTTGCTGCAGTGTTACCAGCAGCTCAGTCTCCAACATCTCGCAAAGTGTCATGTGTTGAGGGAACATGATTCTATGCTCTTTGCCTTCCAAGCTTCCTCAGCTTTTACAGAACTTTTGTCATATGGAAGTCCTTGAACAACAACAAGAAAAAGGAATTATAAAATATAAACCAAGTCAGAAAAAGCCTGCATGCAAGCAGGATATCAGAAGCCTATTGCTAGTGACATATGATATTCATTGATAGTAAATTTTGAAGCCCATATTTTCCTAATTAAATTGGGAAATGCCTTGCAAGTTTAACAGAAAATTTTAGATAGTTTTCATTTTTCTATTAGAATACAAAACAGAACATGAGTACAAAGAGAGAAACTTCACAGGTTATTTCTCAAGAAGATAAATAACTGCTCACTAGAACTTCATTTAAAGAAATATTCTACCTTCTGCAGCTTTTGAATCTCTTAACATGCAACATTTTTTTCAGCAGCAGATGTCGAGTACAAAGGAATGTCTATCAGCAAACTTTGAAAGATGACACTAGGAGAACTTTTTTCTTAATTACTGATTATATTAATGGGAATACAACTACAAGCATCAAGGTAACTTCGGAGGAAACAAAAGTTGATGGTTTTAGATTTTTTTTAAGAGGAAGAACTATTACCTCTTAAAGTAGAATTACAGATTTTAACAGGAATGCTTTTTCTTGGGCGACATCTACAAATCAAGAAGGTCACCTGCAATGAAATTAGGAATACCAATAACAGCAATGCCACTGTAAAACATTAAATCAGTATCAAGAAAATGGTAATCAGGTGATACTAAATATACAGAGGGAAGGTAGAAGTAAGAAGGTAGACTAGTAATATTTTTTTTCTTTTACCTTCTCATACTTGCCTAATATTTCTTCCCTCTGTATTCTACAACATGACTGCAAGCTGGAATAAAGTGGATTTCTATTCATATATTCCTCTCTCATCTACAGACTATCTTACTTACCTGTTGAAAAAAGAAGTATATATTCTTGGTTTATACTGATGCTGATAGGGAGTTGCACTGCAGCTGAGAAAGAATAATATAAACACAGGAGAAACCAGTGGATCCTGGTGACCGTTTTATGAATGAGAATGACAAAAATAGAGGTAGGAGAAAATGAGAAAATCTGGATAAAATAAGCCAGTATGAAGACTGCCAAATGCAGTACTGTTGTTAATGTAAGCAACCTGCTAGAAATACTAATTATTGATGATTTCCAGAATAATAAACATTCATATAACTTTTAGCAAGAAAGAAATCTGCTCTGTAAATATGATGTTCATTTGTCACAATGTAATAACATTTCCACCCTCTGTCTACACGTTGTAATTGTCTGCATACAAGAAGCATATTATGTGATTGTTATCTGGTATTAAAATCTTCCAATTATAAAAAAAAACTGTTGCATCACTATGAAAAACAATTTAACATTGAGTATAAACAGTGCATACTTTTTATATGTCCATTTCCTATTTACAAGTTAAAATAACGTGCATACACATAATACACACAAAGAAGGAAGCCATGCTATTTAAATAAATCTGTAGGAAGCTAAGATTCTTAAAAATAACAAGAGTCTCTGCATTGGAAGTATTCATTTAAGTGGTCTTCGTACAAGTAGCAGTACTGATGGATGCTTTTGTGGATAAACACTACTTATATTATTAAAAAAAATACTGGAAAGGTTTCCAACTCAGCAGAGATCTCTTTTGGCTCCACCATGACTTCAAGTTGTGGGAGCAATTTTTACTATGTGGATTGTCATCTTTTTAAAGATGAAAATGTTCCTGTAGCTACATCAATATATAAGTTCCCTGTTTATCCATCTTTTTTTATATATAGTTTTGTTTCTTTGGGTGTGAGACTGGGAGTTATAGCATTGGGCTACCATTAGCCATGCCACTCTGAATTCAGCCAAAACAGAGTAACCAGCCTATCCTCATGGCTTTGTCTCTGCTTCTCCACCTCTCTCCTGCTAGAGGTTCCTCAGATAGAATGACATAACTGCATATGCAGTTGATCTGGTTTTGTCAAAATGATCTAGATTTTTTTAAAAAATATCCACTCTTAAAGTGATTAAATGGGTAAGGATAACTAAATGCTAGCTATATATGGTGATATGCTGGGAAGTCTGAAGTGATGGTATCATCTGGAAAGGGTTTATGGTGAAATGCAGTCATTTTTTAGATGGCTACCTTCTAATCATGCAGCCAGACCAGAATATTGAATTCAGATTGTAAAAAAAAAAAAAAGAAAAAAAAAAAATCAAAAAACCCCAAACATAGTGGAAGATGGAGACTCAAGAAATCCAAAGCAAAACTGGAGAAGGTTGAGGACTAGGTTTGAGATTGAGGGAGAGGTTTGAATTTGGGTAATATGCCAGCAAATAACCTACAAAACAGTTTAGAAGGTAAGTAAGTAAGCTGTAATTTTTTTTCAACCTCTTTTTGAACATTTTTGAAAGAAAGAAAATAAACCAAGTAATAGAAGTTAGAGAGAAGCTGCAGGAGATATAGGTGAAATCTGTAAGAACTGAAGGGAAAGGGATAGGGAATTAAGGAGGAAGTCATGAATGCAAATATGGAAGATGCGCTTGAGAAAGTAAAAGGAGTAAAAAAATTAGTGCTTGGGTTAGAAATTGCCTGAAGTAGGAGGAACGAAATATTTTAGGTCAGGCCACAGGCAGTTCTAATAAAGTGAGTGTGGAAAGGAATTTTTGAATTCAAAATCGCAGTAACATAAAAAAAGTTGATAATCACAGAAACTATGTGAAAGTTTTAAGAAGATAAGCAGTGCTGTGGAGGATATTGACCTGATAATAAAAATGGAGTGTGCCTCACAACAGTAATATTCCTCTTGATAATTTCCCAGAGATTGCCTGTTGGCATTTTTGGAAAGGTAAAATAGGAAGTCATAGGTTGTGAGGTATTCGTCTGTGTCTGCTGGGATTTTATATAGTGTCAGAATGTGCACACTGCTTAATAGACTTGGTCATGAGACAGGACAGTTGGCAAGAGGATAGAAGTCAGGAACAAAAGTTACCTCAGTAATGTCTGTGTTGTGTAGCTGTAAGTCATTGAATTGGCAAATGAAAGAGTAAAAGGATTTTCTTTTTATTTGATTTATGAGTCAGTAGCTCCTTACCATGGCAGCTGAATATTTAGATTTGCTTTTGTAATCTCCTCAAAGACTAAACCTCTCTATTGTCTCTCCTTTTCCAAAGACAAGGAACAATCATAAAGTGTGTCTCAAGAGTATCTGTAATTCCCAGAGTTTGAACCTGCATAAATGAGGGTAAAAAGCTTTCTTCAGTTTGATAAAATCCCCTCTGAATTCATTGGCTGACTGCAAAGTAAGTGTGCATGGAGAAAGGACCATTCTTTAACTGTCTTTTCAGCAAGAGTTGGGTTCTGGCTCACACATCTATTGGCTTCACACATAATTTTAGCTAGATGTATACATCTTTACAGAGAAAGAGAAATTTACAGTGCATGTCTTTGCCACTGATGCCTTGGAAGTGTGGACATATTCAGTAGCTCTTCTTTGATAGTATGTAATTCTTTAAGTGTTTACTGTAATTAGTCCTGTGCAAATCTTCATTTTGCATAAAAGCAAACCATACTTTTCTATAACCTGGCAATCCACTGTAGTAATATTAGTTGGACCAGAAGATTATTAGATCATTTGAACAGGATAAAGAACACAGAATGGAGCTGACGTTCTGGTGCTTCTGTCTGTTTCCACATAACAATTTTCCTTACTCAAATGAGGTGTAATCTCTCCTGTAAGAAACATACATACACATTGGTTGCAACAACTGTGGTCAATAGAAATATCATCTTCAGTGTTTTCTACTTTGACTAACACAGATTTGTCATAATGATTTTTTTTTCTGTTTGGCATTTTTCTACTAAGTAGACTGGACTTTCATGTGGTAATATACACTAATAGAAAACAGTGGATATCCAGCCCTCGAAACTGTTTACTTACTCAGGGATAATTAAGGGACCTTAAGACCAGTAGCTTTTGTGTTTGCATATAGGACTCTTCAATATCTACATGAGAGATCTACAGATAGTATGGTGATTCTTTTCACAGATGCAAGCAACCATGTTTCTAAATTAGAAATACTGAAGGTACTGTTGCTGTGCAGTCTTTATTTGGAAATGGATCCTATAAAATAAGCAGTGTTACATTGTTCCTTGCTTTGTCATGAATATTGGCTAGGGACTCTCAAAGATTATAGAAGCAACAGCCTTTACTTAAGATTGTATGTTAATTAATATACTATACAATTATACAATAAATTAATGTACCATGTCAAAGATATTAAATACATACAAAGCATATCAATATTATGCCTTAAAGCACCATCTGTACTGGCAGTATACTGATTTCCCTTTATGGGAAATGGTGGTGGAATAAGCTGGAGACAATAGGAGTTTGACAGACTCCAGGACATATCTTGTGTCTTCCCTCCAGAAAGGGGATGTGACAAAAAAGCAACACTCTACTATGTATTTCTTTTCCTTGAATAGCAGAGGAAATAAAAATTATGAACTCTTAGCTGCCTGAGAAACCCCACCATGATGCTCCCCTTGAGCAAGGAACGGTAAGACTGCATGTGAGGTATAGTCAATGTCTTTGGAGACAGACTTCTTTGGAGTTCCAGTCTTATTAATGTAAGAACACACACTGGTAAACATTGTACTTCTGCAAGGGTGTATAAAGGGAATAGACTTTTCAACCAGACCTGTAATTCTTACTGAAATTTTGCTAGGTTATTTTTGTAGGCCTCTGTATTTCATCAGTTGTGTATAGTACTACATCAATGTTTTTCTTTACTTTTAATCAGTGGCAGGGATGCTGCCTGCCTTTGTGAGCCCTCCCTGTATGAGCTAACTACACCTCTCCTTTATATAAGCTTGTTCAGCTGAGCCATCATAATGACAGCTTCTGCAGAAGGGTAGAGAGAAAAGTGTCACATCCAACTCCTCACTTGTCCAAAAGTGCTGTCAAAACTTGGAATTTAATCTTTGAGATTAGTGCTTAAAAATCAGAGCTCTAGAGCCAGGATTTTGGCTTCATAAAAGTCAAGCTGTGTAATTATTTGAAAGCTCAGCGGTCAAACCCAAAAAACTCAGACTTCAGCTTAGTGCAGCTTTCAATAATATTAGTTTGTTATTTCTATAAATGTGAGATAACATATATATATAGTATAGTACAGTTACTGACCAAATGGGGTTTAATTCCTGATAATAAGAACAGACAAATCAGTTAAATGCATTAACGTGGTATATAAAACTTCTGAATGTTGTTATTCATGTGGCAACTGCCTAGCTTCTGTGTGCAGAATATGCTTGTGACAAGAAGGAATGATCAAAGACAACTCAGATATGTATAGATCAATGCTTGAAGTTCCCAACTGTAGTGAGTGGTCTGAGAAACTGAGCACTCTGCAGGGAATCAAATGAGTTCAGGCTTATTTATGTGTGAGTTTTTAAAAGTTTTAATGAAAGATAGTTTTGTTTGGATGCGTTTCTTCTTTAAGTTTTATTAGGCATTT